TTTGTAATTGAAATTAAGTAAAATTATTGTAATTGAAATAAAATATAAATATCAAATGAAACCCTAAAAAAGATCAAATTAGAAATGTTGTCTTGGCATCTAACTAAAATAAGTTAATTTAAGTTGGAGTACTACAATTACTTGGACAGAATTAAAAATAAATTAAAGCTAAATACAAATATGTTTTTTTTAAAGAAACCTAAAATAGCACAGTCCCCATAGACAAATGTAATATATGTACATATATACATTATACATCATGCTGATATAGAGCCGGTATCGCTCTCGTACTCGAGTGATATTGCTCATATAGCAACCATATATCAGTAATACATTTTATATTATATATGCTTTATTAAAACAACATGCATACAAAAATCTGTAGTTTATATGTTTTTGTAATAAATGTTTTAAATGCATTTATTACAAAATTATACTATTCACAGATTTTTGTATATATATATGTTGTTTTAATAAAGCTGCATATATAAATAAAACATATATTACCGTGATATTATGTATCATATTACATTTCTGTATGGGTCACACACATTTGGCTGCATCATCCCCCGGAATGATTAAGGATGTCATTAGATGTCTCTGTAGTTTTCCTGAGCCCATTTTAGTTGGAGATTCACGGGACAGATGATTTTCAAAATGCATGATAATTGAATAATCTGGTTCTATTTTGATCATTATTTGTTGGTTGAGTCAGATGAAACCTATCAAAGAACATATTCACAGTCCAGATCATATTTCACACCGAAATAAAAAGAAAAATACTTTTTATATATTCTTAAATGACAGTTGAGAATTTTTCACCCAAATTCACCCTATATCCTAATTTCCCACTGCTCACTCTCTCTCCATAGGTGGTTCATCGTTGGGTGCCTTGCAGTCGTGATCCGGTTAGTCGGTCTCACATTGATAAGACCATCCTGCTGGTCCAGGTGGATGATAAATTGGTTCCCATTATAGAGATGGGAGTGATTGAACTGGGGGCAGAAGTGTGAGGATGCACTCGTCTAATGTCAGGCCAGAGGAAGAATGAGGCCACACTCACTTCCAGCTGCTGATCAGGGCGCAGGAAGCCAGGGAATCGTGCAAATGGAGAACATACACACTCACACATGCTGCAAGAAGCACATTTGCTCACATCTGGACAGAAAGCTGCCTTGCTCTGTGTTCCTCAGATATGCTGCATGGGAGATCAGCTCCTGTAAACTCTTCTCTCTTTCTCTCTCCTTTACGAGCAGCTGCAGTTTTCGTTCTGTTTTTTAGGTTCTATGCATCTCATCAGCTGTCTGTAAACACATGCAAACTCACAGGGAACACTACAACCGAGCTTGATGTACACGCAGAGAAGAGTTTTTTTATTACAGCTATAATTATGTTTTATTTTGTATTTCTGCCAAATTAAGTCAGGTGCACAGTGCTGCCCTGGACATGCAGTGAATCATGTGACAGACTGTGTTTTACTAGCTGCCAAGACAGATGATCATGGTGAGGATGATAATGATGATAAAAAGGAAGCAGGTGCTTCTGATACAGAGCATCCTTACTCTTCATCCTCGTTCATTTTGTTGAGGATCCATTTGATAACAGAGGTGTTATGAGAAACTTTAACTTGCACTATGATTTGTTTTTGATTTTCAGCTGTGCACTACTTTCTAAGATCAGACATTATTTATTCCTTCACGGTTTGAATCGCCATGGTTAGCGATGCCTTTGGAATGCAAAATCATTGACACTTTCTTTTCTGCCGTTTTGACAGTTTTTCTTTAGCTTGAGGACAGAAGTGGTTTTTTAACCACATGTAGTTATGTATGAATATATAAATGTGTCTGTAAAAAGATTTGGCTTTGAATATTTATTGTATTTACATTTTGTTATATTGTTTTTCATTTACAGGACAAATAAAGACAATGCATAAATATTATTTATTCTTGCTCCCGAGTGACTGATGATGTTCTTTTATGAGAAGGATGAAATGAAGTGCATCTAGGGCATGAACTCATATTCATGTGATTTGGGGACGAAGGTTGCTGCCCTTTCAAATAGCCATGAGACGTCAGGAGACAACACAAACCACTGACTGGTTAACAAGGGAATGTTTTTCATACTGATACTGAAGTGCTGTTATTCATTGCTTTGGCTGTGATCACTGGCATAATATGTATATCGGTACAATGTCTTTAAGATAAAGCACTTAATAAATCAAGCTGATATCTTAAAATAGAAGGGGAAAAAAAACAGAGCTTTTGGGAACATGTTACTTTTCACAATGTGCTAAACCTGTTTAACTGGTGTCCTGTTATACTTGGGTACTCTCATATTGACAGAAGGAAACATCTGAATTTCCTCAGTAATGTCATAATATAGCAAACTATTGTAAAGAATCAGTCCACTGAAGGCGAGCGTAGTGAAGAATCCAAGTGCAGTTTATTTACAGTCATCCAAACAGACGAAGACTAGAAACACAGACTTGATGTGGCATGAACAGACTAGACTCACCGACAGCAGGTTACAACATCAATACATGACAAGAGACAATGGGAATATGATGGCTACTTATAGCAGACAAGAGGGTCACATGACATGAACAAACCAATGGGGAACAAGACACGACTAAGACTACCAACCAGAACATGACACAATGAACCAATAGCATGAAGACAAGAGGGCAAGGGAAGCATGACACTAACAGGGTGAACCAATTAGAAAATAAAAGACACGCCCCTCTAAGGGCGGCTCCAGACGCCCAAACAAAACCCAAAAAGTACAGGAGGGTGGTGGAGTGGAGGCGGAACTGGGGGAGAGACGGAGGGCCAGGCCCGTGAAGAGGAACAGGCAGATCGGGCAGCCATGGTGGGGCAGGCAGATCGAGCAGCCATGGCGGGGCAGGCAGAGCAAGGACATGGACGGACCACTTGACTGTGACAGAACACGCAGAGAGTTCTTGAATGGCCTCCATGGCTGTGACAGGACAGACAGTGGGTTTGTGAACGGCCTCCTTGGCCGTAGCAGGACAGGCAGTGAGTTCGTGAACGGCCTCTGTGGCTGTGACAGGGCAGACAGTGAGTTTGTGAACGGCCTCCGTGGCCATGACAAGACAGTCTGTGAGTTTGTGACTGAAGATCAGTGAAGATGATCTGCTGGATTCATAATGGTGGTCGTGTATTCAGTAAAGAATCAGTCCACTGAAGGCGAGCGTAGTGAAGAACCCAAGTGCAGTTTATTTACAGTGATCCAAACATAATCCAAATAGACGAAGACTAGAAACACAGACTTGACTCACCGACAGCAGGTTACAACATCAATACACAATGGGAACTGATGGCTACTTATAGCAGACAAGAGGGTCAGATGACATGAACAAACCAATGGGGAACAAGACACATGACTAAGACTACCAACCAGAACATGACACAATGAACAGATGAACCATTAGCATGAAGACAAGAGGGCAAGGGAAGCATGACAGTAACAGGGTGAACCAATTACAAAATAAAAGACATGAAAACATGAACATGAAACAAAACCCAAACCCCACATTACAACTATAGACAAGTCCTGATTGTGGAGTAGCGTTTTCTTCTTGATATTTACTTTTTCTTTATTAGATATTGGTAACGTACATTATATATAACTAAGAAGCATTATTAAAAATACTTTAAAAAAAACAGCAACATAAGTTACCGGTAATAGATATTTAAATAGTTATCGATGTCATGAAGCTTTGATAAATGTTTACATATTTGACAAAGTGTGTTTGTTGGGTGACAATCTTTGTGATTGTTATGGAGGAATGACTTGAATTGAGACGTGTATGAGGTGATTTGGTAGTGTTTGTGCATTTTGGAAGTGTAGTTTACTGCTGTGCCAAGCTGAAATATGGCAAGGAGAACCGAGTTTAGAATTTAGAAAAAGTGAAAGTATTAGGAGATTGTTATGAAAGTTATTAGAAATTCATGTTCAAAATATTAGTCCGGTTTTGTCAGCTTTTCTTGAGCAAAACATGCTAGGTTATGTAATTTTTTTCTTATGTTCTTAAAATAGCTTAGACTATCATGGAGTCTCTGATAATAGGAATCAGAGATCATATATGAAAATCTATTACATTTTTGAGGGGACTTTTTGAGGAAGAAGCTTGCATGTGGCTGTCAACAGACATGTACACCTGCTGAAGAGTTTACAGTGAATTCTAATATAAGAGGGACTTTAATACTTGTGTAATAAATTAATGCTAAGATAAAACGCCCATTTGGTGTCAAAGGTTTCACAGTGATCTGTAAGTTCCAGAACCGAGAGGTTCTTGTCATCCATGTTAAATCTAGCATTATTAAAGATAATTAAATTATTGTCTCAATAAGCTTGCCTAAAAATAGAGAATCAGTATAAGTAAATTACGTGAGAAGCTGCAGAAGGAATTTACCAGTATTAGCTACAGATCATTATAGACTGATCTGATGGCTGCTTACAGATATTTCAACACATGCTCTGTTCCTGATTTATATTACACCTGTAAAAACAACACAGGTGAGACCAGCCCAGCTATAAAAATATGCGTGGGTGCAGCAGTCATATGACAAACGGATAACCTGATCATGTGCTCGATTATATTCTGCCCAGATAGTAAAAAAAAAAAAGAAGGGCAAGTATCTATGATGCTCAGCAAGAAATTATTAATAAACTTTTTCTAACCAATTATTAAATCCCCTAAAAGAGCTGAGGCATTTCCCCTGAACTTTCATAACGGTTAGACTTTCCTTGTCAAGTGGCAGACCACTTCAATGCATTACTCTACTTCTATACTTCTGAAAAGCATCCTCTCTTTTTGTTTTGTTTTCAGTCAACTCGTTGCACATGACCGACTAGTCAGGCGGTCAGTTGAGGCACCGCCCAGGGGTGAAAGGTGATTGGATGCTGCACTGAGGCGTGTTGAGCTGATTGGATGGCGCATGGAGTCCGTTTGCGCTGATTGGCTGCTACACATGCGTCCTCGTAGCGCTGTTTGTAATAAAGCGTCTCGTAGCTCCAGTACAGGCAGCTCGGGCAGCGCGTACAGAACAGGTAAGGGCAAGGAAACGAATTATATTTTTATTTGATAATAATCCTGCTTATTTTGTTTGGTTGTGGTATGTATAATTAAACTCCAGGGTAAATGCGGTCTTCAGCTAACAGGAGTACAGTTTAAATCCCCCTATGGCCTGTTGTTTTTATTGTAATCTGATGTCCTTTTATGTTTATAGGATGATTACGAGACCACTTACAAAAATATACCATAGTAAACAGTCATTTTTTAAAAGTTTTTAACAGTCATTTATTACCACAATTAAATGTAGTATTTGATACCATTATCATCTAAAATGAGACATTTAACAAAATGTTCTGTTTGAAGGAGATTTATTATGGTTTTATAGTAGTAACAATAGCTATATGAATTAACTACGGTTGATTTTTGTAAATATGAAATGTTCAAAGTAATGGGAGCTTTTGATAAAATAACTCAAAAGAACACTTATATTTTTTTTATCACTTCATATTTTATCTCTGCCTTACTGTAAACAGACTTTATATAGATAAAGTCAACACTGCTTTATTTACATAACTATAAAGGCTTAGTGAAAAAAATAATTAAAAAGTGTCATGGGTATTTGCAATATACCCATATTATAATATACATGTATATTATATTAATCAGCAAAATGAAAGCCATCAAATAAGTACTTTTTGTAGTATGACAAATACAAGTTTACAATCTTTAAACTTCTAATAGCATGCATGGTGTTTTTCTCTGATTATTTTGCATCTCTGTTCCCGGTAGATTGCAAAGATGAGCCCACAGACAGTAGCAGTTTTAGGACTTGCCCTGAGCCTGGGGCTGGTAGTGAGTGGTTTTCCTGCCGAGCAGCCAGAAAATGGGAAGCACTGGGTCGTCATCGTGGCTGGTTCGAATGGCTGGTACAATTACAGACACCAGGTGAGTGTGGAACTGATCTTTGAGGTGGAGAAAGTACATGGGGTTTTTTCCAAACTGTTAGTCAGTTGTCATATCGGAAGTATTTATTCTGTTGTGTTCATGTTTGTGTAAAGGCCGACGTGTGCCATGCGTACCAGATTGTCCATAAGAACGGAATTCCCGATGAGCAGATTGTGGTGATGATGTATGACGATCTTGCTCAGAGCTCTGAGTGAGTATGACTTCTATTATTTAAACAAACTAGTATAGTGTAGTGGATCTCAACCTTTTTGACTCAAAGGCCCTCAGTTTGTCAAAAACAATATTCAAAGCTTAAATGTATCTCTTGTACTTCTGTTTTAATTAAAATCAATAGACTAAAAAAAGTTATGTCAGTTTGATCTTGTACATCTTCATTTTAGTGTTCTTTTAGCGTGTTAAGGGTTTCATTTTAAGTATATTAACAATTTACAGTAAATCATTTTAAGATTTATTGAACCCCCTTGGAAGTTTGCTGACCATGGGCTTTAGTTGAGAACCACTGGTATAGTGAGAGTTGGTCTGGTAAACCAAGAGATACTGGGTCAAGCCTAGTAAGAAATGATTCATGACCTGGAGTAACTTTGCTCAAATGCAATAGTGATAGAAGAACAAGCACTTTACCCTCATTAACTCAGACTGTAGAAAATGTGCTGTTAGCTGTTTCAGATATTTAAAAAGCAATATCTGGGTAATTTCTCACGATCACCAATATGAGCACTTCCCCTAAATCGTTTTGGTAAAGTGTTGACTTCCAAAAGCAGACATAAAAAATTATTTAGCTCCACCACATGCATGGACGCACACACACGCACACAGAAACAAAGCTTTGAGTCAGTTCCTTTGCAGATGTCACGCGTATCTAATTTAACCACCAAGACTTAGTCTGCCAAAAGGAAAAATGCATGAATTGTAACTTGTCAGGTTTTTCTCTCATGGTCGTGATAGTTGCTGGCATTTACGATGTTTGTGTCATGAATGTATATAGAGTGTATCCTTCTTTTTAGGGTCCATAAACCTAATGGAGCCTATGTCTATATAAGAGTATAATATTAATAAAATCTATATTTGGACTATATATATATATATATATACATACACACACACACACACATTTTAACCTTTAGGCCTATATTTTTATTGGAAGTTTGACAGTCATTGCTTTAGTGGCTTTTTTATGAATTCATATGTAGGTCAGGTGTTGCGGCTGAATTAAACAATGAAAGAAAGCGATGTGTTATCTGATAGTTGGCTTAGTCACATGGTTTAGGGGTTAAATTTTAACCTGTGTTTGACAAGTTGAGAAGAAAGAGGTCTTTTTATTATTGTTTGTGTTCTTTTTATATTTATGCTTTTAAGAATCAATTTGCCAGTTTTGTTCATTAAAAACCAAAAGCCTTTTCAGTAGAAAGGTTCATATGACCATGTTTTTGTGTGTGTCCAGTAACCCTACTCCAGGAGTGATCATAAACAGACCCAATGGATCAGATGTTTACAAAGGAGTGCTGAAGGACTACACTGGTGATGTGAGTCAATACTTGCACCTCTGAATCTGAGATTTGAAGTAGTAAGTGGTGTGTTTGCCATCCGTTTAATAATGTTGTGTGTTTGTTATATAGGACGTGACTCCTCAGAACTTCCTGGCGGTGTTGAAAGGTGATGCTGCCAGTGTGAAGGGAGGCTCTGGAAAAGTGCTGAAAAGGCAAGGTCCCATAAAAACTGTGGCAGAGGGGGTTAGAGGTCATTAGCATGTTGTTGAAATGTAAATGAGCTTTTAGTAGATTTTAGTGTCTTATTAAATTTTTTACCCTCAGTCCCTGTGAAATCTCAGTCTCTTTTGTCTCTGTTTGTGCATGTTGAGTCAGATATGTGGAAAAACTGGTCTTATGATATACTTTCCTTTCTCAGTGCATTTTTTTAATCCTTCTTTTCCTGGCAGCGGTCCAAATGATCATGTGTTTGTGTATTTCACTGATCATGGAGCCCCAGGTCTGCTGGCCTTCCCTAATGATGATGTAAGCACTTTCTGCTTCCTGCGGTCATTTAGCTGAGTCAGATCCTTTCAGATCCTTTTTACGCACACTACACCGTTCTTTCCAAAAGTCTTAAGACCACTAGTGTAAATGATTCTATTCTATATATTTTTCTAGTTTCATTACAAATTATAAAATCAACATAAGTAAATATTTTATTTGAAATTTGTTTTTTTATTAATTTAAACAAACAAACAAAAAAATCCCAGATGTTTTTTCATCCGCCTCTGAAGATACACCTGAAGTAGGTCAGCTGACATAGAAAGATCTCATATAATGAGTAACACATTTAACTCACTGGAGGTTTAGCTGAGTCGCATTGACAACTTGCTGCACTGACAACTTTTCCAGTAATTGTGCATGATCATCGGGTGGGGGAGTTAATGCTTCACTTCCTTATGAGTGACATGTTTATACATTAATGGGAATGTTGTAAGTACCTCATAGATGGCTTTCATCTATAGAAACTTACAGTAAATCATTCTTCTACTTTTCTCTTTTTTTAGCTTCATGTAGAGGACCTGATGGAAACCATCAAGTACATGCACCAAAACAACAAATACAAGAAGGTGACTGTTGCTCATACGATACAATAATTATTTATTTCTTTATTTTCAAAAAAATAGTTTTTTTAATAAATCCTTTCGCGCACACATAGATGGTGTTTTATGTTGAGGCCTGTGAATCTGGCTCTATGATGACGCCTCTGCCGGTTGACATTAATGGTGAGTGTTTCTTTAACACCATCATACATGCTGCTGTGTGTAAATAATACCATACATATAACCTGTCTACTTTCTCTTTGTATGTCAGTCTATGCTACCACCGCTGCCAACCCTGACGAGTCCTCATATGCCTGTTACTATGATGAGGCCAGAGACACCTACCTGGGAGACTGGTACAGCGTCAACTGGATGGAAGACTCCGATGTGGTTAGTACACACATCTGACAGAGAACTTTGTTTAGGTCCAGATTTAAGAAAGTTAGAAAAGAAGAGCATTTATTCAGCATGAGCAGTCTGATCATATTAATAGCAGAGCATCTCACAACCCTGAATACAGACATCCAGAAAGAATCTGGAGTCATGCAGACCAGACGATGGCAAGGTGTTTTAAATGATGTTGTGTGTTTGTTTCTTTAGGAGGATCTGAGCAAAGAGACTTTGGCCAAACAGTTCAAGATCGTAAAGACCAAAACCAACACCAGCCATGTGATGCAGTATGGAAACAAGGTAATACACTTACACTGTCTAAGATGTAAAAGACATTTAGTAAATATTAAAAATTAGCACATGCATTAAGAAAAAGCACACTGTCTTTACACTACCAAGCACCAATTGCAAGGTTGATCAGCATTAGTGAGGGCTCAATTATCTGTGCTGCAAAGTAATTCATTACTAAATAGCTAAATGTCTCGCATTCCTGGCTAGTTCAGAAAGTTTCCGTTCATAGTCATGTGTACTTTATTGACAAGGAAGTGTTTGATAAAAGCATAAATGCTGTTCTGAGTACTGTCTGCATGCCTGTACTTGCCAGATGTAACTCTGTTGGTTTGTTTGTGTTTTAGACGCTGTCCCACATGAAGGTGATTGCGTTCCAGGGTAATTCGAAAGGTCTTGATAAGGCACCCGAGCCTGTGTCGTTGCCTGTGATTACTGAACATGACCTCATGAGCAGCCCTGATGTGCCCCTTGCAATCATGAAGAGAAAACTCCAGAAGACCAATGACGTTAATGCTGTTGTCGGTTACATGAAAGAAATCCATGAACATCTACAGGTTTGAAGCACTGCTTTTTAAACAGATTTAAACAGATTCATTTTAAATTTAAACAGATAATTATTTATTCATTTATTTTAAGTGTTAAAAGTTAATTCATTGTTCAAAACTTTGGTAAGCTGTTTTTATTAAATAAATCCTTTTATTCAGCAAGGATGCATTAAAATGATCAACTGACAGTAAAGACATGTATAATGTCACAAAAGATTTGCATTTAAAATAAGTGATGTTCTTTTGAACTTTCTATTAAATAAAGAATCCTGAAAAAGTATTATGAATTCCACAAAAATATTAAGCAGCACAACCGATTTCAACGTTTATGTTCATAATCATAAGAAAGGTTTCTCGAGCACCAGATCAGCAATTAGAATCATTTCTGAAGGATCATGTGACGCTGATGACTGTTGTAATGGCTGCTGAAGATTGTTCATTAGCATCACAGAAATTATTTACTTTTTAAAAATGTATTTGAATAAACAAAATTGCAGATTAAAAGTGTTTTTGATCAAATAAACTCAGCCTTGGTGAGCATAAATACTACTTTCAAAAACTTAAATCTTACTGACCCCAAACTTTTTAAATGTTAGTGTATGTAACATATACTGTAAGTGATATATGTGAAATAGATTTCAGTCAAGATGATCATATTATAATGGATTTGATGTTTGTTTGTTTGTTTGTTTGTGTGTGTAGGTGCGGGAGCTGCTTGGTAATACCATGCGTAAGATCGTAGAGCATGTGGTGCAGGAGAACGAGGAAGTGCAGGATTACCTGGAAGGACGTGAAGAACTCACAGAGTATGAATGTTATAAAACTGCTGTCAAGCACTACAAGAAACACTGCTTCAACTGGCACCAGCAGGAGGTATGAACTGTCCTTGTTCTCTTTCAACTGCATGATTTACTTGTCCTTTGCTGTGTGTGTGACATCTCTTCTCTCTTATTGCAGTATGAATATGCTCTGAGACACCTGTATGCTTTAGTAAACCTGTGTCAGGGAGGATACCAGGCCCAGAGGTAAAGACACATTTTATGCATTTTCTCTAGATAATGAATGAATGATTAATTTACTGTATATAGTGCTTTATTGTGTATCGCTGTACACCCAAAGCGCTTTACAATCATGTTGGGGATCTCTCCTCAACCACCACAAGTGTGCAGCATCCACTTGGATGATTCTGCAGCAGCCACAGTACAACGGCGCCAGTGCGCTCACCACACACCAGCTACAGGTGGAGAGGAGAGAGAGTCATAGAGCCAATTCAATGAATGAATTAGAAGGCCATGATTGACAAGGGCCAGTGGTGACAATTTGGCCAGGACAAATGATGTCTACATTTTTTTTTAACAATGAACTATAAAAGCTGCAAAGTGTGATTGCATAATAAATAGCGCCCCCTGCCCACGATAGTGAGGTATGTAAAGGTTTGTTGCAGAATGTTTATTTAACTCTCTCATCTGTCCATTCTCACAGAATCACAGCAGCCATGGATGATGTGTGTTACTTCAGACAGTAGGAACATGAACTTGTGAGCCACTGAAGACATATTTTGGACGGACTACACTTTGCACAAAAGAATCAGACCGTGGGGAATTCTGTATCATCGCACACAACTGATTTTTATCTTTTTGAAAATGTTTCTTTTAATGAGAATTTGCACTTTTAATGTGATTGTTTTTCTGATCTTTATTTTTTTTTAAAGAAAGAAATGTGCAAATTTACATTTAAAACAGTGCAGCTTTAGAATGACACAATAGCAATTTTTTGCACCTTAGTTACTGTCATTATAATTAAAAATATCTTAAGATGGTTTGGAAACCAAAGTATTCAAATGACCAATCACTGAATAAAGTCCAATCTTACAGGATGTTGAATAGATGCATTCAAACGATGTGAAACAAACACTAGATAGCCACATGCTGCACTAAGATTATTATTATTATTTTTTATCTGCTTGTTGACTGAGCCATGACAATACCCAATTTCTCTCCAGTAGTAAAATCAAAGGAGCTCTTTTTGGTTATTGACTAAATGTATACCTATAAAACTAAAGTGCAAACTAACCTAACTATCAGAAGTATGTGGTCATACTTAACAAAAAGTTTCTTAAATAACTGAGATCACCGCTCCAAAACAACTGCAGTTAGAGCAGTTAATGGTTTAGTGCAATGGTTGATGTGTCAGGCTGTGCTATTATGTCAAGTGCCCTCCGTTTAGAATAATTTGAAGCTAAAGGAAGGTGTAATGTTTGAGGAATGTTTGCTGGAGTTTGAGCTCTGTAAGAAAAGTGAGTTTGCACTGACAACATGGGTTAAAACACTCTGTGAAACAATACACTGAACTACTGTCAACGTTAAGCAGTGTTATTGAATATAAAAGCAAAATTAAACCTGAATTTGTTGAATGTATTTTTTAGTTTTCTTTCAGTCCAAGTTATAGCTTAATTCTGTTGAGAAATACATATATGTCACTAGATGGAAATTTTGATTTGATTGGTTCTTATAACATACTGCTTATTTATGTTTCTATACAAGATTAAATCAAAATAAATTAATTCTTATATGCTGTAGCATCAAACCTAAGCACATTAGTTGTGGGGAACATTTGCAAATACAGTGCCCTCCACTAATGTTGGCACCCTTGGTAAATATGAGCAAAGGCAGCTGTGAAAAAAAATCTGCATTGTGTATCCTTTTGATCTTTCATTCAAAAAATGAATTCTAACCTATCATTGAAGTAAAACAATTGAAAGTGGGGAGAAAATCTCACTGTGAAATAAATGCTTTCTCTAGTTCATGTTGGCCACAATTATTTGCACTCAATTATTGCAACGTCCTTTCCCCAAGATAACAGCATCTATGTTTTTTGCTATAATACCTGAAGAGTTTGGAGAACACCTGATAAGAGATCAGAGACCATTCCTTTAAACAGAATCTCTCCAGATCCTTCAGATTTATAGCTCCATGTTGGTCGTGCTTCTCTTCGGTTCACCTCACTCATTTTCTGTAGGGTTCAGGTCAGAAGGTTCATGGCTTAACTTTGTGCTCAGTCACATTTTTGTGTTAATTTTGATGTTTGTTTTGGATTACTGTCTTGAAGATCCAACCACGGCCCATTATAAGATTTCTAACAGGGGCAGTCAGGTTTAGATTTTTTATATGTTGATATTTGATAGAATCCATGATGCCATGCATCTGAACAAGATGTCCCGGCAGAAAAACATGCTCACAACATTAAAGATCCAGCAGTATATTTAACCGTAGGCACGGGGTACTTTTTATCGTTCACTCTAAAAAAATCCTGGATTATTTTTTTTTTACTCAAATGCTGCCATTTTTTGGGGTTATTTTTTCAGTGTTTGGGTAGTTTTTGTGTTACCCAGCTCCTGGGTCAGACATAACAACCCAATGTTTGGGTAGTTTTTTAGTGTTACCCAGCTTCTGAGTCAGACATAACAACCCAATATTTGGGTAGTTTATTAGTGTTACCCAGCTTCTGGGTCAGACATAACAACCCAATGTTTGGGTAGTTTTTTAGTGTTACCCAGCTTCTGAGTCAGACATAACAACCCAATATTTGGGTAGTTTATTAGTGTTACCCAGCTTCTGGGTCAGACATAACAACCCAATGTTTGGGTAGTTTTTTAGTGTTACCCAGCTTCTGAGTCAGACATAACAACCCAATATTTGGGTAGTTTATTAGTGTTACCCAGCTTCTGGGTCAGACATAACAACCCAATGTTTGGGTAGTTTTAATACTCAGATCCTGGGTCAGACGTAGCCCAGCGGTTGAGTTATTTATAGCGAGGATTTTGCCTTCTCTTCTGGAGAGAACAGTTCTAAGCGCCATCGAATTGATGCATTTCTTCGGTAAAATACAGGTTTGTGTACATTTTATTTTATATATAAAATCGTTACTGTGCTGTATATCGTTCAATTTCATGCAGAGCAACATACAAGCACGCGGTGTAATCACCTAACGTCGGTCTTATAAAGATACAGAATACAAATACTTTGGATGTTAAAATATTTCCTCAGAGCTGTTTACTGTTTGTTTTGGACAGGTTATGAAGTGGCTGTTATATTTGCAGTTCTCCTGCAAAGTTTAGCTCCAACTTGCCTCAACACACCTGCCTGCAAGCTTCAAGTATACCTAGTAAGAGCTTGATTAGCTGATTCATGTGTGTTTAATTAGGGTTGGAGCTAAACTCTGCAGGACACTGGCCCTCCAGGACCGAGTCTGGTGATAAATAAAGGAAAATAAAGGAAGTTATCATGCAAATCAGTGGCTGTGTGGAGTATTTTACAAAAGTTTAGTGGATTTAAGTTAATCTGTAAACATTATTTCATGTATAAAGAAAAAAAAAAAAAAGCTGTATTATAATAAAAATGAATCAGCCCATTATGATGGGTTAAATAAACAACCCAATTTGCTGGGTAAAATTAACCCCATATGTGTTCTGTCCTATATTTACCCAGCCCTTGGGTTGTTTTTAACCCAGTGTTTTTTAGAGTGTTGTTTGTACTAAATCCATCTGGTGGGTTTGCTGCCAAAAAACTTTTTTTTATGTTTTATCTGACCACAGAAGCCAGTGCCATTTGAATTTATTTAATTTTTTTACAAAAAGGTTGCCACAAATAAAGTCTACTGCATGTCTGTTTTATCAGGTCCGATTTTTTCAATGTAAGGGAACGTTTGTGCTGCCATTTTGTCCAATTCAACTCAAATGTCTTTCTCTCGTGCTTCTCATTTTCTTCTTTTTGCTGTAGAGCAATCTGTTTAGGTAGAAGTCTCATGAGCTACATAATCACATTTACTGGTAAAGTAAACAACATCTTGGCAGTTCTCATGCATGCCCTATATGTTATCTGAAAACAAACCAACAAATTAGACTGAAAGGCTGCAAGTTTCTTACATAATATCTAGTACACTCATTGTGTGATTTTTCTTTGTTTTCTTCACCTGGTAACTATTACATAAGAATGATATATATGCAATTGTAATGTAACATTTTTACCTTTAACCTGTAAACCTCAATTGACAAGAGAGAAAATGTGAAACACAGTTCAGATGAAGGTGTGTTTCACCAGTGTGAAGCAGCTCTCAATGGTCTCGAAGTCCATTTTAGCAAGATTTTCTCAACAAGCAGGCAATGCACTCGAGAAATCAATCTGATCTACATAATTGTATATCTACATATTTTTATTTTCTTTGTCCTAATCTAGAATAATGGGGTTGAATGATAGCATATTTCATGGAGGAACAAATAGTAACAAATAGCAAGTTTCTCATAATGCAACAGAAATATGAGAAATGCATGTAGCAGCTGGATCTGCCCATCCAAAACCAGAAAGTGATGATTCAAGAATTCAACAAGTCTCACAAAACAGTAGCACGTTTCACAAGTCAGGAAACTTGACTCACAGCGGTTTCCACAAGATCACAATGTTCATCATGGTGGGATTGTGTTTATACATGCAGGCAGCTCCATCATCTTGAACGTGATTGTGGTGGGAATGGATATGATGTTGCGGTAATACCGATGTCTGATTGCCTGATATTGATAAAACCATGATGAAATCCCGGACTAAATCTGTATTTACTGCATAGCCTACTCAGACACTTAAAAACAGGTAATTGTAATTGAACATTAGACCTGTGTGTAAGACACTTATATACATATATTAATATAATAGATAAATTATATATAGGCCTACATTATATTGAATCTGAATTTTACTGCTGATATATTTTAATTGTTTAATTAAAAATATTTCCAATCATTGATTTTAATTGAATGAAATTTTTATTTAATTCATAAAACGATGTCCTGGATGACTAAGCATCTCCATAGCAATAAGTCCTGTAAGTCACTAATGACACATAAATCATTCACGCCCTTTAATCAGTGTGTTACGTAATCACGTCTATGGGAAGTGAGTGTCTGTTCGTTCTGTGGCCGCGGGATGGCGCCACTGAGCGATAAAGACCTGACAGCGTTCGGAAACTCCCTTTTAATTCTCACCTGGAGCCTCTTGCGGATTGAGTAGAGAGGAGTTTCTCAAGCCAGATAAGAGCACAGTCTGCAAGGACTGTTCGAGACTGGTCGCTCTCTAAGGAACAAGAGTTTCCTAAGAAAACCGGAATACCGTGGAAATGCCTCACCTGAACTTTCCAGACCACATTCACATGGGCCGTGCGATGTAAAGGATTTTACAGCGCCAAACAAGGAAACTGAGGGATCCAGAAGTTACAGGTAACAGCCCTGCCCTGTCTGCCAACGTGACACTAAAACTTCTGTAATTAGTTTAATGCAAAGTCAGAACTAAAGTTAGAAGTGTCTAAACACTTTATGTACTCTTAGTTAGTTCCAGTGTTTGTACTTTGGATTTAATCATTAAAATGTGTGCTCCCTGATATTTTGGTCTCAAATAGGTTTTACTTTCAGTAAAAAATAAAGTGTGTGTGTGTGTGTGTGTGTGTGTGTGTGTGTGTAAATAAATACTATAATAAAATGCCTTCTTCATTTTTTAAATGTTATTTCTCATGTCTATCTTTTGATTGTCTGTCTGTCTGTCTGTCTGTCTGTCTGTCTGTCTGTCTGTCTGTCTGTCTGTCTGTCTGTCTGTCTGTCTTGGTCTCTCTTTTACTTGTTTGCAAAATTTCATTTATTAATCCCCAAATATTTCTAATTCTTAAAGTCTCAAACGACGTTTTTCTTAGAACCTAATAATTAGTTTTTTTCAATACATAAATTGTTCACACAGACAACTTGTCTTGTGGGACTTGTCTAAAATGACAAAGTTGTGTAACTTTTAGGAGAGTTACAAAAAAAAGGGGGGGGTAAAATAATAAAATATTATAATTTAATATTAAAGCTTAATAAAAGCTTATATTACATTAAAATGCTGACATTCTTGAAATTTAATGTTGGCATAAGTAGTTTGGTATGATCTTTAAT